GGGGGGGTTGTGATAGAGGGGGCCCCATCCCTTAGGGGGTAGATGGGCCATAAGGGGTAAAGCTCGCAAACAAGAACAGTGGTCCCCTCGTTGTGCAGCAGAGGGTGACAACCCTTTTCAGTTCCTGGTGCTCTGCGGAGTCTGAGCCACTGTCGCCCACTGAACACACCCATCTCTCTACTGCCCCTCTTTCAGTATATACAGTAGCCACTGGACCTGCAAGTCTGATTTCAACTTTCAGCAGCTCATCATACGGACACATTCATGACATGGGAAGGAACACACATGCCAGCTGAAGGCCCTTTTTTATGCGTTTACCTCAACGTGTGATTTAACACCCCCCTCCCCCACCTCATTAACCGTAACAAGGCTCTGAACGGATTTCCCAGCAGGGATCTGGCCGAAGGTGGGAGACGGTTCATTCCACCGCCAGCTGCTGGATGTATCGTGTGACGGCCGCCAGATGGGACCTGTTAACTGAGCCATTACAAGGTGAGCACATCAAAGAGCGCTTTCCTAGAAGTGTAAAAAAAATGCGGCCCGCGGGATCATGTGACCGAGTCGTGGTAGAGAGCGGCCGTGGCGAAGCGCAGGGCCCAGTGAACGGAGCACGCGGCAGGACTTGGAGAGCGAGGAGAAGAATGCGAGTTCTAGATTGATATCATTAATATATCGGAATGTTCTCATTAATATTCATCGTCACTTCTAATCATTGTTCTCAGTGACGGAGGCAAGGAAGGATTGTAATCATGAGAGACAATGACTTCTACTGGAAGGTGTGTGGTGGCCCTAAGGGTCAAGGTTTGGTTAAGTAAGGTGCCGGATGTGGCCCTTTGTTTGCCTTTAACTGGCTCTTAGGGTTCAATCCCTCCCACTGTCCACAACACAGGGGCACTACTCCTCCCACTGACACCAATGATGAGGGCACTACTCCTCCCACTGACACCAATGATGAGGGCACTACTCCTCCCACTGACAGCAATGATGAGGGCACTACTCCTCCCACTGACACCAATGATGAGGGCACTACTCCTCCCACTGACAGCAAAGATGAGGGCACTACTCCTCCCACTGACACCAATGATGAGGGCACTACTCCTCCCACTGACAGCAAAGATGAGGGCACTACTCCTCCCACTGACAGCAAAGATGAGGGCACCATTATTCCCAATGACACCAACAATGGGGTACAATTCCTTCCATGACACCAATGATTGAGTACCATTCCTCTCTTGACACTAATGATGGGGCACCATCCCCCCCATGACCCCAACAATGGGGCACCATTCCACTCCAGACACAAATAATGGGACACCGTTCCTCCCATGAAATCAATGATGAGGGAACTATTCTTCCCAATGACACCAACAATGGGGCACCATCGCTCTCATGACCCCAATGATGGGGTACAATTCCTCCCATGACACCAACAATGGGGCACCATCACTCAAGACACCACCAATGGGGCACCATTCCTACCATGGCACCAACAATGGGGCACCATCACTCTCATGACCCCAATGAGGGGGCACCATCACTCTCATGACCCCAATGAGGGGGCACCATCACTCTCATGACCCCAATGAGGGGGCACCATCACTCTCATGACCCCAATGAGGGGGCACCATCACTCATGACCCCAATGAGGGGGCACCATCACTCTCATGACCCCAATGAGGGGGCACCATCACTCTCATGACCCCAATGAGGGGGCACCATCACTCTCATGACCCCAATGAGGGGGCACCATCACTCTCATGACCCCAATGAGGGGGCACCATCACTCTCATGACCCCAATGAGGGGGCACCATCACTCTCATGACCCCAATGAGGGGGCACCATCACTCTCATGACCCCAATGAGGGGGCACCATCACTCTCATGACCCCAATGAGGGGGCACCATCACTCTCATGACCCCAATGAGGGGGCACCATCACTCTCATGACCCCAATGAGGGGGCACCATCACTCTCATGACCCCAATGAGGGGGCACCATCACTCTCATGACCCCAATGAGGGGGCACCATCACTCTCATGACCCCAATGAGGGGGCACCATCACTCTCATGACCCCAATGAGGGGGCACCATCACTCTCATGACCCCAATGAGGGGGCACCATCACTCTCATGACCCCAATGAGGGGGCACCATCACTCTCATGACCCCAATGAGGGGGCACCATCACTCTCATGACCCCAATGAGGGGGCACCATCACTCTCATGACCCCAATGAGGGGGCACCATCACTCTCATGACCCCAATGAGGGGGCACCATCACTCTCATGACCCCAATGAGGGGGCACCATCACTCTCATGACCCCAATGAGGGGGCACCATCACTCTCATGACCCCAATGAGGGGGCACCATCACTCTCATGACCCCAATGAGGGGGCACCATCACTCTCATGACCCCAATGAGGGGGCACCATCACTCTCATGACCCCAATGAGGGGGCACCATCACTCTCATGACCCCAATGAGGGGGCACCATCACTCTCATGACCCCAATGAGGGGGCACCATCACTCTCATGACCCCAATGAGGGGGCACCATCACTCTCATGACCCCAATGAGGGGGCACCATCACTCTCATGACCCCAATGAGGGGGCACCATCACTCTCATGACCCCAATGAGGGGGCACCATCACTCACCACCAAGGGGGCACCATACCTCTCATGACCCCAATGAGGGGGCACCATCCCTCTCATGACCCCAATGAGGGGGCACCATCACTCTCATGACCCCAATGAGGGGGCACCATCACTCTCATGACACCAATTGAATGAAAGGTTTGACCTCTCTAGCATATTGCCGCGTGTACGGCCAGCATTAGCGATGGGGGTTTCAGGCTATAATTTAGGGTAAATTCTTTCATTTCTAGGTTTCCCGGTACGATTCCGCTCCCACATAATCCTCACAAATACATTTACATATCGGTAACAAAATAAATACATTGTGTCATTTACATCACAAATACTTTCGCATTGCGCCAATTTCCAGAGGCCAACATTTGACTCCGACACAAAAATGACAAATGTCTATAATGAGATAATGTGTCCCATGAAAAAAGCAGCGAGTGGGTGGAGCTCTGCGCACCTTCCCCCCAGGAAAGGGTTAATCGTATCCTGCAGCAATCTTGCTGGCGCTGTGTCTCGGGATTTTATGCACACAGCCTGCAGGGGTCCCCCAAACACACACACACATGAGCTAAACACACCAATTTGCTGCCGTTTTCCTTCCACGCCTACGCGCTGATCTTTTAATGGAAGATAAACGCGCTCCTCGGACTGGCACAGATCCCCGAGCCAAAGCTTTATACGGCGCGTTAGAGAGGCTTTGAGATGCCGCGTTCCAGAACATACGTCCGGTCTGCGTTTTCGGGGATAGAGGCCACCAGGCATGGTTAGGCGTAGGGGGGTCATGTACTTACTCGGACAGATCAGCGCCTCCTTGGCCGTGATGCTCTTGTTGCACACGAAACACATAGTGGTCCCGGAGACGGTGATGGTGGTGAACAGGTGCCCGTTGGTGTAGCGGGTGTCCTTGGCGTCCTTCATTTTCTCCTTTTCTTTATTCTGTAACCAAAAAGAAAGGAGAGGTCAGCAAATATTTTTAGCGCTTTCGCTTGTTCCCTGCCACATGAGCAACAGTCACGTCCGCCCTTTTCAGACGGTCACGCTGCCTATCCGCTACCATATAGGTGAATATCTACAGGCCGGTGCCTGTCATGAACCCACCAGCATGACCACCGAAGTGCGTTCGCTGGGACGTTTGGCCCTCCAGCTCATGGTCTGCAGCCGTCGCGGGGCAGCGGGGGCGTCCGCCCGCACGGGGCCGTAGACGGAGGCGCTGCGGAAACCAGGCTGATGCTGCATCTCTGGCTGAATGCTGCAGTATCCACCGACACGAGAGAGAGAGAGAAAAAATATTCCTGGAACATGTAGACATCTCGCTATGTATAACCATGACAACCGCATCAACTGTGCCAGGGACCATCCCCCGAAACATCTCTGCAGAGGAGACGAGAGCGCTGCCGCTGTCCCCAACTTCTGGAAAACGTACCACCTTCCCGCCGGCGCCTGCTGCGTTGGCGGAGGCGGGAACCAGGTGTCCAGCGAGAGAGCCGACGTTCGGCTAGGGGTCTGACCGCCGACTTCGGATACGTAGCTGCTCAATTTGAAGCAATGCGGCAACCTTTCCATCTCATTCGGCTGCCAAAGTTGCGGATAATAATTGGCCGATGACCCGCGCAACTAAGGCCGCGAATGCCTGCGACCCGACCGCATGTCTTATTTTCCAAAGGGGACGTTGAGTACATTGCTGCTTAACCAGCCGCTACTATAAAAGTAGATTTCATTGGCTGATGGCGCACACAACTAAAGCCGCAAACAACTGTGGTCTGACCGGAAGTCTCATTTCCCCGATCGTTCGTTGCAGAACTTTGCGTGCGTCTAAAGGACCGCCGTGTGCAAAGCTTTTAAACGTTTCTGATTGTTTTGTGCTCCCCGCGGCGCTCGTAGATCACAGTTTTTGGGTCCCAGCGCCTAGGGGTAACACTTTCTAAACTGGATAACCATGTTTCACAATGGTGGCCGCACACCCCGCACCCAGTGGGCGAGGGGATGGGTGCGTGGGTAGGGGGAACACCCCTTGAGATTGGTCAGCCCAAGCTTGATCCTTGACCACCCATCCACACACGTAGACAAACCCCCCCATCGCCCACCACCGGGTGGTGGGGGGCTATGCCAAGGCCACTACACTGACGGACCACAAAGCTGTTCTAGGTGACTGTTGACAATAGGAGGCGGCCATGTTTATTTTGTCACTGACAGAGACGATAACTAAGCCAAGTAAATGACACGCTTGATATACAATTTCTCGAAAATGAGTCAGGGGGTTCTGAACGCTTGAAAAAACTGTTATTTACCAGAACTAATCGCCGTGTCCTGCGGAATCCCCCCCCCCCCCCCCCCCCCCCTCCGCGGCTCCCC